TCTTTTCAGACTCGCAGAATTCATTACTAGGGTGCTGTTCTCAGAATGTCCACAAGAGGGCACTATTGCAACCCTCCCCTTACTAGTGTACTGTTCTCAAGAAAAAAAGAAAATGTATTGGGACAACTGGCAAAATTCAAATAGAATCTCAGGTGTCCATGGCAGTGATGTGCCCAATGTTAATTTCCTGATTTTGATGGTTATTTTGCAGTTACATTGGAAATGTCTTGGTTGGAAATACGAAAGTATTTGGGGGTTTTAGGGCATCAACTTGAGAGACCTAGAGGGCTCTGGCCCTGCAGGGAAGAGTTGCAATAGTGCCCTCTTGTGGACATTTTGAGAACAGCACCCTAGTAATGAATTCTGCGAGTCTGAAAACCCTTTTGAGAGACCCAGAGGGCTCTGGCCCTGCAGGGAAGTCAAAATAGTGCCCTCTTGTGGACATTCTGAGAACAGCACCCAATAAATTTTTTTTACAGCAAAAGACGCAGTTCATAGTCATGTGTTGCATTTAATCGCCGTGTCTCTTTAGTCTCCTTCAGTGTGGAACAGTTCCAGGGTCTCTGACTTACACAATCTAATTTTATATGATTGAGAGAAAAAACTTCTATGCATTTAGAATTTTTTAAATGGAGTTTCTAGAGTAAACCTTCAAGGATCCCAAGCTCCATTTTTCTGCTTCCTAGGTTTGGGACTGGGGGCAGGTTGCTTTACCTCTCAGTACCTCAGTTTTCTCACCTGTAAAATGGGGATAATGACAGCACTGCTCTAAAAGGGTGGTTTCCAGGACACAAAATGGGGGAGGGGGAGCTAATTGATGCATATAATGCTCTTAGAGTAATAAGTATTTTGTACATGGTTGGGGTTCTTTTAATTTAAAAGACCCAATTTCATACCTTCACATGGAAGGCCTCTCAGCCTTAAAGGTGAGTAGTTTTTCAGGATTTCTGGGTTCAAGAAGTTTCGATTCAAGATCCCATACCCATCCTGGCCTCTAGTCACTGCCCAGAGAAACCCTTGCTTTGGGACTCAAGGACACCAAGGCCCGTGTTCAGATTTTCAATGAGGTACTCAGACAGGAGCCTTCCCAGGAGGGGTTGCCAAGCAACAAGGCAGCTCTGCAGGAGCCGGGCAGGGCCTTCCGATGCTCATGGGTCGGTCCCTCCCTTTTCACAGACGAGGTGATGGAGGAGCCATCCCACAGGAAGCAGCCAGGGCTACACAGCGAGTCTCAGCACAGAGCCGGTTCCCGGACCCCGGAGGTCAGACTTGCAGCCAGTGCATGGGGCCCCACACCATTTCTGCCCACTTGTTGGAGCCAGAACTTCTGGAGTGACCCCTGTCTGCTCGGGGTCACAGAGACAAGCCCCTGCATACGTCATCTCTCCAATCCCCCACCTTCCCAGGGATGTCTGTGGCCACCCGGCCCCCACACCTGATCCCCCCTTAGCAGCCAGTGCCACGCTGCACGGGTCCCATCCTGCCTTTGAAAGATTTGGGGGGGAAATCCTTGCTCAGTTACGACTTGAAATAGGTTGATACCATAGAAACAACTCGCAAGTGGCATTTCAAAGCTGATTTATTTAAAGTCTAGCACAGGGGCCTTTTCTGGGACAGTGACATTATTCAGTTGCACACGGCTTAGTGTTTTGAATCTTGTCACAAAAATATATCTCGCGCCGGAACTGAAAATCCAGATCAGCTGGGTGAGCGAATTTGCTTTAAATGTTTCATGCAGATGGTTCCCACCCTTTCAAGAACTTGTGAACACCATCCTTAGATAGCAGCTGGGGCGTGATGTTCCGCGGGCCTGAGGCAGGATCTGAAAGCAAGCACCCTCCAAAGCACACGGTGAGGTGAGGACCCCCGGCCTTCATCATTCATTCATTCACTCACTCACTCACTCACCCATTCATTCACTGAGCCACTCATTAACAAATAGTTATGAGCTATGTATCGTCTATTGCAGGGGTGGGCAAACTTTTTGACTCGAGGGCCACAATGGGTTCTTAAACTGGACCGGAGGGCCGGAACAAAAGCATGGATGGAGTGTTTGTGTGAA